ATATATTCAAGTACTATAATATTATTCTTCAGAAGAGGAATTTTAGCCTGGATGTGGTGGCTTATGCCTGTAATTCCCAGCACGTCGGGAGGCTGCGGCAGATGGATCACTTGAGGTCAGGAGATTGAGACCAGCCTAGACAACATGGTGAAACCTCATCTCTACTAGAAATACAAAAAGTTAGCCAGGCATGGTGGCGCGTGCCTGTAATCCCAGTTACTCTGGAGGCTGAGGCAGGAGAATCACTTGAACCCGGGAGGCAGAGGTTGCAGTGAGCCGAGATCATGCCACTGCACTCCAGCCTGGCAGACAGAGAAAGACTCAATCGCTTAAAAAAGAAGAAGAAGAAGAGGAATTTTATAGTCTTATGGCAAATGTAAATGTCCTCATTTTGCCTTTTAATTGAAATGTTAAGGTTCCTATTATACTGCAGGAACCAAAAAACATCATGCATCGTCGTGTGTACAGACCTCGTGCATGGGCTAGTGAGTGGCTGGAGAAGAGAGCGTGGGACTATGAGCAGTGCGAGTGGAGGCCAGCAACTTCCAATGTGCTCACTTGATTTTTGCAGTAAACTAAGTTTAGATAATGTAACTTTGTATAATTGTTTTTGGTATTTACTTTGGTTGTTTTTTAAAGTGAGGATTTGTATTTTCTCAATTATTCTTTTGGTGTTAATTAATCTAAAGGTTTTTTGTTTTAAACTGTTCATATCAGAAATTGCTAATATACAGTCTGCCTGAAAGGAAGTTTGAGTGAATGTCATTTCTGAAGGACACTCCAGTTTATAGGGTAGAAACAGTTTCCCAGATTCAGGCTGAACAGAGACATTCACTCTGCTAAAAGGAGCCTCTAGGGGCACATTCAGGCTAATCTAAGTTTAAGAACTCCTCACTTTCTAACCCTATTTAAGAAATAACTCCATTATAGAATATTCAAATAGAAAAAGGGGGGAAGAAGTTAAGCAAAATCAACTATCATCCTCTATGTTGAAATAATCAATGTATATATTTTAATATCATTTGTCCGTTTATTTTGCTAAATACGTGTGTTTTTATTAAAATAGGCTCTTACACAAGTTCTGTAATCTGCTTTTCTCACCTAACAATATATTGTGTATGTCTTCTTTTCTTTGAGACAGAGTCTTGCTCTGTCACTCAGGCTGGAGTGCAGTCACAGGATCTCGGCTCACTGCAACCTCTGCCTCCCAGGTTCAAGCAATTCTCCTGCCTCAGCCTCCTGAGTAGTTGGGATTACAGGCATGTGCCACCATGCACAAATAATTTTTGTGTTTTTAGTAGAGACAGGGTTTACCATGTTGGCTACTCTGGCCTCTAACTCCTGACCTCAGGTGATCTGCCCACCTCGGCCTCCCAGTGTGCTGGGATTACAGGTGTAAGCCACCATGTCTGGCCTGTGAACATCCTTCCTAGGTCAAAAAGAAAAAGAAATAAATGTCTGTATGATTTTATAATGACATAGAATTAATTCAAGAAGAATCCCAGTGTTAATTACGTTCAATTGAGTTTAGACAGAATAAGTTCACAAGCTAAGATGGAAAATTCGTTCCATGAAATCAAGGGAACTAAAGAGAAAGAAACGGTAGCAGAAGTTCACACTACAGCCCCAATTCACTCAGTAAGAAACCTGATTTAAACGCATACATTAAATTGTTAGAAAGAAACCCTTTGACGACTCATTACTGCTAAAACAAAAAACTTATTTTCTTGTGTTTGTTTTTTTTTGAGACAGAGTCTTGCTCTATCGCCCAGGCTGGAGTGCAATGGCGTGATCTCGGCTCACTGCAATTCCACTCAGAAGTAAGTGCTGTACAAAACTGAGAAAAGCTGGGCAAAGGACTAGTGACTTAGGTACCAGGAGGGTGGCTCTCCAAAATGCCACTGCAGTCTGCAACAGGCATTGTCTACTCAGCCTGTGTGTGAAGGGAGTCTACGTGCCTGGAAAGGAAGTATTTATGGATGAAGGGATTAGAGCTCATGACTCTTCCTAAAGTTGGGCTTTGAAAGAAGCAATTGTGTGGTCCGCTCCATTTTTGGGAATGGAAGCAGAGGGAAAAAGTCCAGCCAAGCTCTATTTATCATGCAGAAGGAAGTTAATAATCACAAACCAGAGACCATGACTGGAGGGTTCGTGTGATTCCTTAAGTCCTGCAGTTTCTAGTGGCTGTTACTCTTGTGCTGCATAGAAACCACGCCAAACTTAGGGGCGTGAAACAACCACTCTATGCCAGGGTCGCACCACTGCATGCCAGCATGGGTGACTGCTGGGGAATCTGGGCAGGATGAAGTGGCAATGGCTTGTCTCTGCTCTAGAGTGGCTGGTGCCTCAGTTGAGAAGACTTCAAGATGGGACATAAGTTGAGGTGGGAGCCTAGAATCATCTGCAGGCACCTTCGCCTTGGACAGAAGCCAACTGGGGAAGCGACACTTGGCTGTTTGATGTGATTTGTCTGAGCAGTTTGCACAGCATTGTGGCCTCAGGGGAGGTGGACTCTTTATCTAATGGCTCAGGACATATGGTGGAACCTGCATCACGTTTTCTAGTCTTGCCTCAGAAGTCTTGTGCTGTCCCCTCTACTACATTATATCGGCGACACGCACATCACAAGCAGGGCCAGAGTCCACCCCTGGATGAAAGGAGAGCTCAGGCCACATGGTGGAGGAGCATGCAGGATGGCATGGGGCCATCGTTAGAAAACACAGTCCAATCCATTCAGCTATTTCTCCATCTAGATGAAAGTAACTATGAGTAAAACATTTAAAATAAATTATGTCTGTGTAGGAAAACGTGCCTTTTCGGAACACAGGGGCAGTGGCCCTGCAGTAAGTGCACCATCTTACTGATACATACACTGCGGCTGGGTGGAAAGCTTCTCATCATCTTCCAAAACTACTTTCTTGAGCTCATCCATGTGATCTGAAGACACCTGCACAGTCTCCCTAATAACCTGCTCAGAAGCTGAGCAGGAGAGCACAGGGGTTTGACCTGGGGTTAAAAAGAGAGTCTGGGCTAGGCACAGTGGCTCACGCCTATACAATCCCAGCACTTTGGGAGCCCAAGGTAGGCAGATCACCTGAGGTCAGGAGTTTGAGACCAGCCTGACCAATATGGTGAAACCCCGTCTCTACTAAAAATAAGAAAAATTAGCTGGATGTGGGAGTGCACGCCTGTAGGCCTAGCTACTCAGGAGACTGAGGCAAGAGAATTGCTTGAACCCAGGAGACAGAGGCGACAGTGAGCCGAGATCGCACCATTGCACTCCAGCCTGGGTGACAGAGAGAGACTCTGTCTCAAAAAAAATAAAATAAAAATAAAAAGAAGTGAGCCCTAGGAAAGCCTGTGACAGCCAGACACTGCGGGCACCATCTTACTGATACATGCACTGGGGCCGGGTGGAAAGCTTCTCATAATCTTCCAAAACTACTTTCTTGAGCTCATCCATGTGATCCGAAGACACCTGCGCGGTCTCCCTAATAACCTCGATGTCCCGAGTGTTGGATTCAGGCTTTCTTGGCAAAGTTAAAACACATCTCATCTCATTTCAGCTTGGCAAAGCCGCCATACAATTTGGGGGAGTTGTTTGGCAGAAGGCCTGCTGATGTGATCCTGAGGACTTTAAATTAAAATTCAAGGAAATGGAGATAATACAAATATAAAACCGGGAAATTGAATGGAAATAATACCTAATCTTATTACTTCAGATAGATTTCTACTAGTGCTGAGAGGCTGGAAGGACAAATGTATTTACTTTTTTAGTAGGAGTTAACAGAGCTCGGCACCACCTAGTGTCTTTCTCCCTCCATCCTGTCCTGCTTCCTGTAAACACTCTCTTTTCCCAGAATCTCTCTTTCTTGTAGAGAAGCAGGATTCAAGGAAAAGGATACTTAGAATCTGATTTGTTAAGAAATCACACCCCTCGTAAACACATTATTCAGATTCCTCTGAGAGAAGAATCTAAAGAGCCTCTTAGATGTTGGAAACTGTATGCAGTAACCAGAATAAGATATAACCGATTTAGAAAGAGTGAGCTGAGTAACTGACCATGCCTATGTTAACCTAAGTAACAGGGGGAGGCTACCTAATAGAAATCGATATTTATCCTGGAATAGGGCATTGCAATGGGAATAAGTGTGCCATAGTAAACAATGTGGGTACTCAGATAGATAAAGGAAGTCAAAGGTCTTTAAAGGAAAAATGAGGACACTTACATAACTGTTTTGAGATCGTTATCCTTGGCTATGAGCACCAATAAAAAGGATGGCACCAGGCCAACATTAGATAGGGAGTTACTGGGCAGATGTCCTCATGGAAGTTATTTTTTTGCATAGGGTTGTCAGTGTTGTGATTTTTGCAGAGTCTTTGGAAAAGATTTTGTTATCAGGCATTTATGCATGAGAGCTCTGTCTTGGTAGCCTTCCCCAGCTCTCGTTGTCAAGGTTTAAAAATTTCGTCAATGCAAGTGACTCCATTTTGATTCTGACAACTTTCCCACCTATGACAACTCGGCCTGCCCTAGCTGCAGAAAAGCAGCACAAGCCATCCGTTAGACAAGGCTTAAAACCAAGGTCAGACATCTTGGTAACCAGCAGAGACGGGTAGAATAAAAGGGGCATTAGAGAGTGCAGACAAACTACCCTGCAGTACCTAACGCTGCGGGATGGGGCACACGCGACCAGCATTACTGGGCATCCCATCCCCTCCTCCCAAGCTTCAGGCAAGACTTCAACATGCTTAAGAAATATCTGGCTACTGTAGAAGGGAAACCATCTTAGTCACGGGAGAATAGAAAGGACAAAGCTGTGACAATAGCTCTCCAAGATAATATGCATTGATCCCAAAACAAAGATAGTCCACCAGCGTCATCTAGTGGACAAATGTATCATCACTCCTTTAGGACATGCTTGGTCTCCAGGCTCTCTTCCCCCAAGCAGAGCCCAGAACCCCAGGGGGATCTTTCAGGAGCATTGGAAGCACCTTACCATGCATCTTCCCTAAGGTTTTGGTGATGTCCTGAATAGAAAGTCTCAGTTGCTTCAGGGCTTGGAGCAGGGCCTCCTGGCTGGGCTGCAAGATGGCATTCATGGCCTGAACAAGAGCCTGGGGATAAGATTCGTGTGCACAACTTATTAGCACTCCCTTAAAGTCCATGCAGGCAGAGGAAGCCTCGTGCTGTGGGAACCCAGGGGAAGACCGGACAGTTTGGCAGAGCTTTCTGGGAGCATCGTAAGCTAGACCCACTGTGGGGTCGGCCTGACAGCCAATAGCTCCCTGGGTACCTCCCAGACGGACCCTTAGGTGTTTCTGGAATTTCAGCTGGCTGTTACTTCTTGTACCTCCCAAGGGCCTGAGTTCTATTATTTTACTGTTTTCTTCTTTCGGACTTGTCACATATTATGATCAGTTCTTCTGCATCTTCAACTACCTTGCTCCGAAGCTGTCTCATATAAAGTCAGGTTAATATGGTTTGGCTCTGTGTCCCCACCCAAATCTCATCTTGGATTGTAATCCCCACATGTTGGGGGAGGGTCCTGGTGAGAAGTGATTGGATTATGGGGGCAGTTTCTTCCATGCTGTTCTCATGATACGAGGGACAGTTCTCACAAGATCTGTCGGTTTGAAAGTGTTTGGCCATTCCCTCCTTTGCGCTCTCTCTCTCTCTCTCTCTCTCTCTCTCTCTCTCTCTCTCTCTCTCTCTCTCTATCTCTCTCTGTCTCCTGCCATCTTGCTAAGAGATCCTTGCTTCCCCTTCCCTTTCCTCCATAGTTGTAAGTTTCCTGGGGCCTCCCTGTCCATGCAGAACTGTGAGTCAATTAAACCGCTTTCCTTTATAAATTACCGAGTCTCAGGTAGAATGTTCATAGCAGTGTGAAAATGATCTAATACACAGATTCTACAGGGCCCCCAGCTTTAAAACCCCCTCTCCTGGGAAGCCTTCCTGGAGTCTCCACTTTATCTGAACTACACTTGGAAGGCCGATATTTGATTCTGTATCTTTCAGTGGGCTAGACACACGGTTGAGAACTAAAGTAAGCATGGAGTTTAACTATTGAGAGGGAAAGAAAGTGCTGTAATAATCATGCCAGCAATGGGTCATCCCATTGAGGACACAGTAGGTGCTCGATATATGCTTATCAAGGGATGTAGTGCTGGCTCATACCTGTAATCCAAGCACTTTGGGAGGCTGAGACAGGCAGAACACAAGGTCTGTAGTTCGAGGCCTAACCAACATGGTGAAACCTCATCTCCACTAAAAATAAAAAACTTAGCTGGGCATGGTGGCACATGCCTGTAATCCCAGCTACTCAGGAGGCTGAGGCAGGAGAATCACTTGAACCCAGGAGGTAGAGGTTGAGGTGAGCTGAGATCACGCCACTGCACTCTAGCCTGGGTGACAGAACGAGACTCCACCTCAGTGGAAAAAAAAAAAAAAGGAAGGTAGTAAGGGAAGGCAGAAGAAATCTAACTGAAATATTTTTAGGCAAGGCATTAACATCTCCTATAGCACTGTAGCTGATCACAGGCTGCACCACTGTCTACTGTCTTCTGTCCAGCCTTCCTGGTACCTGTCTGACTCCTGAAGAAATTCCAGTTTGAGGCCGGGTGCAGTGGCTCACGCCTGTAATCCATGTTAATTCATCTTGATCCACAGCATCCATCATGAGCTTCTGTCAGGGCTGGGACAATGTCTGTCTTATTCGATCCAATTTTCCATTGCCCCGAACAATGCCTGTTTATTGAATGGACATAAGGTCCTTTCCAAGTTTTATAGGAATTGAGAAACGGGAGCGAATATGGTGACCTAGAACTTAGATCTCTTCTCTCAGACTTGAACTAAGCAGGACAGGGTCTACGTTCATTTGTATTGAGAAGTGCAAAGCTCAAAGTCATTTAAAAGGAAAAGGTGCTATGAAGTGAGAAGATACCTTTATCCCAGGCACTGCTGCTTTCTCCACCAAAACAGTCACCAGTATAAAACCATGCAGGCTCTCTCCCCCAGGAAATGAGATGATGGTTTCCAGGTTCCTTGGGAAGGAGAGGATCACATAGTTAGTGGTGTGGAGACTGTACCGTGAGTACTCACTGCCCAGAGGTCCCTGCCGAACTAGATAACTGCGATTATTTAGTTACTGCACAACTTCTTCCTCTCCATTAGACATCCCTGAGGATGAGCATCTACCTTCAGCAACGTTCAGGGAGGAAAGAGAACAGATGAGTTCAATCTCATGTTCACCCGACAGGCAGCCTCCCAGTGTCTCCCATGGTCCTGATGGTCCTGGACCATCCCCGCAGTGGAGTAACTGGCTAAATGAGAAGTTCCTAGTAAGAGATGTAGCTGATTCTCCACAGAGCCAGTTCTATGGTCCATCATGTCATTCCTAACAAAAGCCAGAGTCTTGGAGCTAGAGACCCAGGCAACAGCTAAGTCCATGCTTTATTTTTTTACAGGTATGAAACCAGAGAAACAAAGTAGCTTCCCCAGGGTCATACAGCCAATCACAGGACCAGGCTGGAAAGAGTTTCATGACTAGGCCAGTGCTGCCTGTAATCCATCCACATGTATATTAGTTTGTTCTCACACTGCTGTAAAGAACTACCTGAGACTGGGTAATTTATCAGGAAACGAGGTGTAATTGACTCAGAGATACTTAAGCTTAATGGGAAGCATGGTTAGGAGACCTCCAGAAACTTTCAGTCATGGATGAAGGAGAAGTAAGCATCTTACATGGTGGCAGGAGGTGGGGGGAAGTGTCACACTTTTTTTTTTTTTTTTTTTTTTGAGACAGTCTCTTTGTGTTGCCAGGCACCAGGCTGGAGTGCAGTGGCGCTATCGCAGCTCACTGCAACCTCCGCCTTCCGGGTTCAAGCAATTCTCCTGCTTCAGCCTCCCCAGTAGCTGGGACTACAGGCGTGTGCCACCATGCCCAGCTAATTTTTTTGTATTTTTAGTAGAGACAGGGTTTCACCATGTTGGCCAGGATGGTCTCGATCTCCTGACTTTGTAATCCACCCTCCTCGGCCTCCCAAAGTGCTGGGATTACAGGCGTGAGCCATCGCGCCTGGACAAGTGTCACACTTTTAAGTCATCAGATGTTGTGAGAACTGGCCGGGCACAGTGGCTTATGCCTGTAAGCACTTTGCGAGGCCAAGGTGGATGGATCAGCTGAGGTCAGGAGTTCGAGTTCAGCCTGGCCAACATGGTGAAATCCCGTCTCTACTAAAAATACAAAAATTAGCTGGGTGGCCGGGCGCGGTGGCTCAGGCCTGTAATCCCAGCACTTTGGGAGGCTGAGGCAGGTGGATCACGAGGTCAAGTGATCGAGACCATCCTGGTCAACATGGTGAAGCCCCTCTCTACTAAAAACACAAAAATTAGCCGGGCATTTGGCACGCGCCTGTAGTCCCAGCTACTCTGGAAGCTGAGGCGGAAGAATCGCTTGAACCCGGGAGGCGGAGTTTGCAGTGAGCCGAGACTGCACCATTGTGCTCCGGCCTGGCAACAGAGCAAGACTCCGTCTCAAAAAAAAAAAAAAATTTAGCTGGGTGTGGTGGGTCATGCCTGTAGTCCCACCTACGTGGGAGGCTAAGGCAAGAGAGTCGCTTGAACCTCAGAGGCAGAAGTTGCGCCCCGAGATTGTGCCACTACACTCCAGCCTGGCTGACAGAGACTCCATTGCCAAAAAAAAAAGAGAGAGAGAGAGAGAGAGAGAGAGAGAGAGAGAGAGAGAGAGAGAGAGAAGAAGAAGATCTTGTGTCTTGTGAAAACTCACTCACTATCATGAAAACAGCATTGGGGAAATCCATGCTCACGATCCTGTCATCTCCCACCAGGTCCCTCTCCTGACATGTGGGGATTAAATTCGACATGAGATATGGGTGGGGACACAGAGCCAAACTCTGTCTATCTATCTATCTATCTATCTATCTATCTATCTATCTATCTATCTGTCATCTATCTAAACCCAAGGCTGTACAATGGAGTGGGATCTGAAAGGCTGTCACAGAGGAATCATTTCTAAATGACCTGCTGTCATTTAAATGGATTAAAATAGCTATAAAACCTAAAACCTTAACTCTTTGGATCATATTTGCCCTTCCCATTTTAAGAATGAGACAAAGATGAAAAACAAACAATTTCAAAGACCAAGTCAAGACTTACATTGTTCCAGCCGGGACATTAGCTTGGGAAATGATGTCTTCACCTTCTAACACCCAACTGACCAGTTTTTCTACTGGACACTCTTGTCTGATGGGTTTGGTGATGGAAGAGGCAACATTGGATCAGAGGCTATTTTTGTTTGCCAGGAGAAGCGGAGCCTAATTATGTGTGGATCTGACCTGCCCCATGAGCTCCAGTCTATGTAATACCAAGGTATTGCAAAGGGATTCTCCTATTGCCAGAGAAACCACTACCTGCAATCTGGCCTCCCACAGAAGTTATAGTGAGATGAGAAATCTTTTTTTCAAACCATTAAACTTCAGCTGGGCACAGTGGCTCATGCCTGTAATCCCAGCACTTTGGGAGGCTGAGGTGGGTGGATCACCTGAGGCCAGGAGATCAAGATCAGCCTGGCCAACATAGTGAAACCCTGTCTCTACTGAAAATACAAAAAATAGCCAGGCATGGTGGTGGGCACCTGTAACCCTGGCTACTCACGAGGCTGAGGCAGGAGAATTGCTTGAACCCAGAGGCAGAGGTTGTAGTGAGCCGAGAACACACCACTGCACTCGAACTTGGGCAACAGAATAAGATTAAGTCTCAAAAAAAAAAAAAGTCCGTTAAACTTCAAAGAGCTGCTGAAATTTGGTAATGTTTTCATTTTGTGTTGCTTACATTGCATGTTACTTGTTTTATTATGTACAGACTGGAAAATACAGTAAAAAAAAAAAATCCCCAATCTATACAAGGAAGAGGCAGCCACTGTTAATTTTTAGACTGTGAATTTTAGGCACATTTCCTTCTAGTATATTTTTTATGCATTTATGTAGTTGATATTGTACTTTACATGTAATTTACCATGCTTTCTTCTTTGTTTTATTGTAAGATTTTAAAGTTGACCCGGATTCTAACGTGAGTAAAGAATTTCTGAGAACTTACCCAATTTCCAGGAAGCTAGCTCAATTTCAGTTATTGGTAACCACAAAGAGAAAAAATAAATAAAAGAACAATTCAGTTTGTAAATGAGATGTATTAATAACTTCTAGGGTCACATGTCCACAGGCACGCACACTTGTGTTCAAGGCACTGCAGACACACACACATCCACACTTAATGAATTCCGCAGGTTGTGGCTGGACTGTGGGATGCTGTATGATAAAGGGTGAGCAACATCTCCACTCACATTCCAGCCCCAGAATATTTGGCCTGTGATCTCGATAAATTATTAGGCTGGGTGCAGTGGCTCGTGCCTGTAATCCCAGCACTTTGGGAGGCCGAGGCAGGCAGATGATGAGGTCGAGAGTTTGAAAGCAGCCTGGTCAACATGATAAAACCCTGTCTCTACTAAAATACAAAAATTAGTTGGGGGTGATGGTGGGTACCTGTAATCCCAGCTACTTGGGAGGCTGAGGCAGGAGAATTGCTTGAATCCGGGAGGCAGAGGTTGCAGTGGGCCGAGATAATGCCACTGCACTCTAGCCTGGGTGGCAGAGCAAGACTCCGTCTCAGAAATTAATTAATTAATTAATTCACTCCTCTTACATTTTTGTATTTACCACAAACCCACATTTTGTTCTAGCTAGTTGATTCCTACTCAACTTTTAGGATTTGCTTTACATCAAGCTCTGCCCCCTCACCAAGATTTTTGCTGATTTGTGAAGCCTGTATTGACGTCATTTCTCTGAAATTCTAAAGGACATACTGTTTGAGCCACTCTTTGACATTTGTCATAGAGTGTCTTGTTAGTTAACCCACATGGGGAGTACTTTGCTGCTATTTCTTTCATTTCTTCATAGCACTTAGCTCTGTGCTAGGCATATTAAAAGGCTTCAAAAGATAATTAACAATCAGAATAACTGGTGAGACCCAGGACTGTGTCTGCATCTCTGGAATTAAACTACCCCTTTGCTTTCACTTCCCAGAAAACTATTAATAATTTTGTTGTTGTTGCTTTTCTGTTTTTGTTTTGTTTGTTTGTTTTTGAGACAGGGTCTCCCTCTGTCACCCAGGCTGGAGTGCAGTGGCGAAATCTCGGCTCACTGCCACCTCCGCCTCCCAGGTTCAAGTGATTCTCCTGCCTCAGCCTCCCAATAGCTGGGATTGCAGGCACCCACCACCACACCTGGCTAATGTAGAGAGAAGGTTTGGCCATGTTGGCCAGGGTGGTCTTAAACTCTTAATCTCATGTAATTCCCCCCATCTGGGCCTCCCAAAGTGCTGGGATTGCAGATGTGAGTGACTGTGCCCACCTGTTGTTGCATTTTTTTTTTACTACCATTCTAGTATAGTCATTTTCTCATTTTCCCTTCAACCTTCTCTTACTCTGTCTTTCTCTTTGAATAACAAATCCAGCTCATTCAATATGTAATACCTTGAACAAAATAAGTTATGCACATATATTTATCATTTTTTCCATCCAAATTGTTACCCAGATTTAGCAGCTTTCAGTGGTCACCCATCTTGTTACTAAGGCAGAATGAATCAAAGACTACAATTCATAATTGCAGACATCATAAACCTCCAGGGCTCAGCGCTCCTGCGAGAGATGAGATGGCCCAATGTCACTTCTTCCAATGGGGCACATATATATATATATATATATATATATATATTTTTTTTTTTTTTTTTTTTTTTTTGAGACAGAATTTTGCTCTCATCACCCAGGCTGGAGTGCAATAACCCAATATCGCTCACTGCAACCTCTGCCTCCTGGATTCAAGCAATTTTCCTGCCTCAGCTAAACAAGTAGCTGGGATTGCAGGTGCCTGCCACCACACCCAATGTTTTTCTTTTAGTTTTAGTAGAAATGGGGTTTCACCATGGCAGCCAGGCTGGCCTTGAACTCCCAATCTCAGGTGATCTACCAGCTTTGGCCTCCCAAAGTGCTGAGATTACAGTCATGAGCCACTGTGCCTGGCAAGGCACATAAATTACTCCTAAAATCTAGGCTATCTACTAAATATGTAACCCTTTTAAGTGGATTCTCATCATCTCCTCTGGCAATACCATGGCTGAGGAAGTTCTTCAACCTCCATGAATCTTCAGCTGCTGTAATTAGCCACAAAAGAAAGTGCTGTCTCTTTCATTTGGCTGAGAAAATGAAGCTGAAAGGAAAATTTAACATTTTCCATCATCCGTCCAATTCTGACTGTTTATTGAATTTCTTGTTTGTTAAAAACTCATGCTATTCCTTCTACAGACAAATGCCCTTATTCCCAGACCAACTGTCAAAGGAATGATGTAAGTTTGGTGGAATAGATGGAATTGTTAATCAAATTCTCAATCCAGCACACCTGGAGCATCTGCTCTGAATTCCTCAATAATCATTCACTTCTGATCACTATATAATAATTATTTATCAAAACCACTGGTTCTAACCTAATATGAATGGAGGGCATCTTAGGAAATAAACAGTTTGAAGAGAAAGAACAAATAAAATCTGATTTTGCAGGAGCTTGAAGGTCAGATTGAGAAACTGACATGTGGTATGGAAATAAACAAGACAAAATGGTCTGAGCCAATGTGGACAGAATGCATTGAGAGGAAACTTCCAGAATCTGTGACTTTTAAATTTTTGGCCCAGCTCAACTCTTCTTTGGAACCATAAAGCAGATTATAAACATGAATATCCCTAATTATAAAAATGCCTGGGCATTTCCTGTGGGAAAAGTTAAAGTCACAGGACTGCCTCTGGTGGAGTTTCCGTCTGGGGAAATTCAAAGGATTCTCTGCCTTCCTTACCCATCTGGATCTTTTTTGGTCCAGTTTGTCAGCACCAAGTCTGAGTGGACCAGGATAGGAGGGAGCCCCAAGTTCCTGGAGACTTCGACAAGCGGAAGGGCGAGATTCCTTGGTAGAACCTTTCAGATATAAATCCAGACAATTAGCATAGTCTAGAAAGATTGCAGCAGAGGAAATAAACGTAGTTGTCTTTTATTCTATTCCAGCAATCCTATGGTACAGAAATGACCTGGGAACCAAGCTTGAATTATGAATGTGAGTGATGTACATTCATATGCCTCACACATAGCTTTCTGTTAATGACCCAGTGGAAATACTGTTTATATTCGAGTATATGGTGAAATATATGTGAAAATTACAATGCTGGACCACACACATACACATGGAATATAAAATAGCCTCTGCAAACTGATTGTGCAAAGAAAGGCATTACCAAAAAAATTAAATGGAAATGGGCCCAAAAAGATTAACAATAGAAAAAATTTTGATACATAAGTAGGTAGGTGGATAGAAATACATACATACATACATACATACATACATACATACATATATATATATATATAGAGAGAGAGAGAGACATAGATGATAGAGGTGATAGATCGATAGACGATAGATCGATAGACAGATGATTGAGAGACGATAGATGGTAGAGATGATATGTAAATCAATAGATGATAGACAGATTTATTGATTGAATGACTGATGGAGATGTACAGCTAGATGTAGAAACCTCTGTGTGTACCGGGTATGAGCCAGGGGAGACCCCAGCACCCTAGGGAAGCATAAGGATAGACTGCCTCAGCCTGTGGAGAAACTGACTCTGTCTCTCAATTTATAAGTCAAACCCAGTAACACCTTCAAGTAACCCCCCTCAGGACAGACCCCCTTTACCCTTTTTTTATCTGAGGGACCCTCCAAAGCGCTTTATCAGCTGCAAGTCCAGAAATGCTGCATGGGGGTCTCTATCGGAGTAAAGGCTGAACGAGTCTAGATTCAAACCCCATCCCTGTGCCCCCTCTTCCATCTTCATTTTCATTTCTCCTTAAGATAAAATTTCCATTAAGGATGCCCTGCTTTTGCCTTCTTGTTTCCCTTGAAATGTTATATTTGGGACAGAATTGTTTCATGGGTGGAAAACAATAAAGAGCTTTAAAGCATTTTGCAATGTGAACCTTGGGTAAACTTTCCTCAGAAGGCGTTGGAAAGCCAGGTACTTTCTGAGCTAAAAAGTCAAGGGAGGAGAAACAAAGGGAGTGAAAGGTGATCCGAGGCAGGGTGGTGGATGAGGAGCCCTGCTGGTCCCCTGGAACTACCAGGACACAACTGGGAGCTGGACGCTTCCCCCCTCACACCGCTCTTCTCTCCCCCAGACCCCAATTTAGGATAATGGTCTGGGGAGGGGATGATATAAAGAGAACCCACTGGGATGTGCCTAGACTTCAAACTTTTCAGCATCAGACACACTGTTTTAAAAATAAGATATACTGGCCAGGTGCTGTGGCTCATGCTTGTAATCCCAGCACTTTGGGAGGCTGAGGTGGGTGGATTACCTGAGGTCAGTAGATCACCTGAGGTCAGTAGTTCGAGACTATCCTGGCCAACATGGTGAAACCCCATCTCTACTAAAAAAAAAAAAAAAAAAAAAAAAATAGCCAGGCATGGTAGCAGTTGCCTGTAATAATCCCAGCTACTCAGGAGGCTGAGGCAGGAGAATCTCTCTTGGACCTGGGAGGTAGAGGTTGCAGTGAGCTGAGATCACACCACTGCCACTGTACGCCAGCCTGGGCAACAAGAAAGAAACTCTGTTTCGAAAGAAAAAAAAATGACATGCACTGACAAATAACAAGGCTGAAGTGACTCTACACTTTCCTCTTCCCTGAGTCTCATGTGTTTCCTTGAGAGACAAAAGGTAAGATCAGTCAGGCAAATACAATGGGCATGGGCTGCTCTCTTCACCATGGAGTTCTAGGACAAGGGTAACTCCCTAATTTCTGGGAAAGGCATGTTTTTAGAAATGAAAAGGAATAGTAACTGACACTGTGGGTGGAAACTGTACAAAGTTATACAATAATTCAAAGGAGATTTAGATAAATTATTAAAAGACTGACTAGGCCGGGCGCGGTGGCTCATGCCTATAATCCCAGCACTTTGGGAGGCCGAGGCGGGTGGATCACGAGGTCAAGAGATCGAGATCATCCTGGTCAACATGGTGAAACCCCGTCTCTACTAAAAATACAAAAATTAGCTGGGCATGGTGGTGCATGCCTGTAGTCCCAGCTACTCGGGAGGCTGAGGCAGGAGAATTGATTGAACCCAGGAGGCAGAGGTTGCAGTGAGTCAAGATCGTGACATTGCACTCCAGCTTGGGTAACAAGAGCGAAACTCCGTCTCAAAAAAACAAAAAAAAAAAAAAAAAGACTGACTAATGATTGGCTGGATAGAAAGCAGCATGAAAAAAAAAATAAAGCTGAGTGTTGTAAATATCAATGTGGCTCCTGGGGAAAGAAGGCTGCACTAGGAAAATGAGATAATCTGGGTGCTGACCTTGGCTTTTCTGCTTAAGGAATTCAGTGCCTGTGGTTTTCAGTTGTAAAATGGGCCAGTAGGGCTCTATTTATTTCACAGGATTAGGAAGTGCAACCTGGATAATTTATAGACATAAGAGTACAAGATGCTGTAAGGTTTCTATGAATTCTCAGAGTCTGTCTTCAGACCCGGCATGATGACTCATGCCTATAATCCCAGCACTTTGGGAGGCAAAGGCAGGAGGATCACTTGGGCCCAGGAGTTTAAGACCAGTCTGGGCGAAAGAGCAAGACCCTCATCTCTACAAAAAATTTCTAACCATTAGCTGGGTGTGGCGTTATGTGTTGGTAGCCCCAACTTCTCAGGAGGCTGAGGCGGGAGGATTGTTTGAACCTGGAAGGAGTTGAGGCTGTAATGAGTTGTGATTGCACCACTGCACTCCAGCCTGGGCAACATGGTGCGACCCTGTTTTAAAGCAAAAAAGCAATCTACCTTCAAATGCAGCTCTTCAAAAGCTCATAAAAGGAAGAAATAGTGATCAGTTTAAAAAACAAATTACCTTCTTAGTCTGAAAAAGAAAAATATCCTTCATCTAAATAAACCCTCAGGCAGGGCACAGTGGCTTATTCCTGTAATCCCAGCACTCTGGGAGGCTGAGGCAGGTGGATTACCAGAGGCTGAGTTCTAGACCAGCCTGGGCAACATGGTGAGACCTGTCTCTACTAAAAATACAAAAATTAGCCAGGCGTGGTGGTAGGTGTCTGTAGTCCCAACTACCAGAAGCTGAGGCAGGAGAATTACTTGAACCTGGGAGGGGAAATTGCAGTGAGCCAGGATCATCCCACTACACTCCATCCCGAGTGATAGAGTGAGACTGTCCCAAAATAAAACAAAAAATAAATAATAATCATAAAATAAATGGGCCCTTCACCCTTGCTTCAACTGATGCCCATCGAGAAAAAGAAAGCACCCATTTTCCAGGAAAACAGCATAGCACCTAGCAGAGCACCCGTTATTCGAAGTGCAGCCAACCTGCCCGGTAACAGGAGGAGCCGCTCTCTGGCACTCACCTCTGCAGGCTGCGCCTCTCCTTCCTGCCACACATATCCCATGGTGAGGAAGCTCAGGACCAGGTGGGCCAGGCGCTGCTCCCGGTGACCCTTCAGGAACTGGCAGCTCAGCAGGGGCATCTGTTCGTGGAGGTCCAAATATTGTCAGAGGGATGGGAACGGAGACAGGGGAGGGAGCGGGGACCGGGGACCTGGGATGTGAAGGGGCCTTTGTGTACAAGGCAATTGGGTTCTATTTTAATGAAGGAAAGAGGAGCCCGCACACACACCCATTGATCCCCAGACCCAGGACCCTGCAGTATGGGAGGTGGTCCCCATGACTTGGCTCAGGAAGTATCTAACCACCCACCCGAGCTCACAGCTTGTCCCCATTGCTGTGCCAGCCTCCCGTCTCCAACCCGAAGCCCCTGCTTGGCTGGAATGTTGTAAGATGCCTAACTCGCAGGACGGAGAGAACTTTTTTCCCAGGTGTCTTGCGTGGCAACTTTTACGAGCCTGTTTTATCCAAACACTGTGGCCTGCTTGCCATCGCTGACCCTGCGACAGCCCTGTGCGCGGTGGGTGCTCCTCTCTCCATCAGACCTGAGCAGAACACAACCCCTGACCCTGCCTGGGGCTTCCCACCCCACCTCCGCCCGTCCTCCAGGGCCATAGCCCGGGTGCGACTCAGCCTCACTGTGACGCGTAAGGGCGGTAACGTGGTTGAAAGCAACACCCGGCACAGAAGTTACTCAACAGTGACAGCCCTGCCAAAACAAAAATCGGCAGCTTCTCCGCGCCGCTCGGGGGGCACCCTGCCTGACAGCAGCAGCCTCTGAGGGGGACTTCCAGGCGCGCCCCCTCTGCTCGCCTCCTTCCCCCACCCCAGCCCACTCCCCAGCTCTAGACACTGCCTGATCTTGATCTTCCCGGGTGGGCTCCTCCCCGGTGACCCCCTCCCAGGTCCGAAGCGCCAGAAGGGAGGGCCGCAGGGGGTGTTTTTGGTGTCCATTTCAGCTCCAGGCACCGCCACGTGGGCGCGGAGCGGCGGCTCCTCAGGCGCAGGCCCGCGGTTGAAGTTGGGGGATTCTCTGCGGCGGATCCTTCACCCGCCGTCTGCCAGGGGACAGTCGCTCCCCATAGCCAGACTGAGCGCTTCTGCCTCCCAAAAATGGGCTCTCATTCACCATCTCCATCGGTTCAAAAATACAGTTGGATAGAATGAACAAGAGTTGGTGTTTGATACCACAACAAGGCCTACATTGTACATTTAAAAATAACTAAAAGTGTAATTGGATTGTAACACAAAGAAAGAATAAATGCTTGAGGTAATGAACACCCTGTATCAAGACATCTCATGTACCCCATAAATGTATACATCCACTATGTACCCACAAAAATTAAAAATAAAGATAAAATAGGCTTTCAGAATCACAACTAGAATGTGCCCTATGCTTGCAGGGGAGGCACAGCTGGAGGAAGGGAGGACTGTTGAGGTGTTGCTTTTGTTTTGTTTCGTTTTAGAAAATGAGTTTTGCTCTGTTGCCCCGGCTGGAGTGCAGTACAGAAATCATAGCTCAGTGCAGCGTTGAACACCTGGGCTCAAGCAATCCTCCTGCCTCAGCCTCCTGAGTACCTGGGACTACAGGCATGCGCCACTGCATCTGGCTAATTTTAAAACTGTTTGTGGGAATGAGGGTCTCACTATGTTGCCCAGGCTAGTCTCAAACTCAAACTTCTCCGCTGGAGCAATCCTCTCACCTTGGCCTCCCAAAGTGCTGGGCTTACAGGTGTGAGTCATTGTGCCCGGCCTTGAGATGTTGCTTTTTAACAGGAACCAGGTGAGCATTAAAACAGCAGCTTTGTATTAAGTACATTTTAAATTTACTGACAATCTCTTAGGCAAAACCAGATCTTTCATTGTTTTCCCAGGACTGAGTGAACTTATTTCCTAGGTGTCTTGTAAGACAAGCAACTTTTACAAGCCTGTCTTATCCAAGCACCAGATATTTTACTGTTTTCATTAGCATTTTTGGTTTATTCTTGAGATTGAGCAAATTTTTGCCTGTTTATCGTCAATTCAAATATCTTTCAATATCTTAACTATTTATATGATTTGCCCATCTTTCCCCATCAATCATTCATCATATTGATTTCATAGAATCCATTTGTATTCTATGTAATGTATTATGGATCTTAATGTATTATGGATCTTAATCTTTAATACATATGTTCTAAAATTTTTTCCATTTATTGTTTGTTGTTTGATAATTTATTTTGAAAATTATATATAATTATTTTTATCATGGTTAGACCCATTGGAAAGATATACTGTTAGAAAATTATTAATACTTTTCTCACAAATAAATAAAAAATATTGATGAGATTTTATTCCTAAGTCAGTTTGTTCCAAATTGTAAATGACTTTGAGGACATGAGCACAAAATTATTTGTCTCTGATGACTGGTGTATTAAAAGTCTGTGAATTAGCAGAAATAATATTGAGCTAAAACCAGAAATACTAATTTGTGGGTTTCCATCACAATGGAAAGGTACTCTACCTTGAATGCTTTTCTTAATGCTACTCAACTAACATTTTGAAAGTCTCTGACCTCAGTTTGGGAGGGCCGAATATGTGATTTTCCCTCTTAAAACAAAAATGCAGTTTGAGGAGCGTCTCAGAACCATCATGAACATTTCTTTAGAATCTGCATCATGATTCGGGGAAATATGTTTACATTATTTTCTGCTGAACATTTTATTTTATTTTTTTAATTTCATTTTTATTTATTTATTTATTTTTGAGACGGAGTTTCGCTCTTGTTACCCAGGCTGGAGTGCAATGGCACAATCTCGGCTCACCGCAACCTCCGCCTCCTGGGTTCAGGCAATTCTCCTGCCTCAGCCTCCCTAGTAGCTGGGATTACAGGCACACGCCACCATGCCCAGCTAATTTTTTGTATTTTTAGTAGAGACGGGGTTTCACCATGTTGACAATGATGGTCTCGATCTCTTGACCTTGTGATCCACCTGCCTCGGCCTCCCAAAGTGCTGGGATTACAACATTTTAAAGTATATCTTATAACTTCCTATTAGAAGTAATTCATGAATTTATATACTATGAATATAAATTTTTTTGAATATAAATTAAACACATGTAATGCCTATTTACAGCCTAAACAGTATACAGTAAAAAACACTTATTTACTCATCACTCAGCTTAAGAAATAGAACTTGACTAAAATTTTTGCAGCCCTCTGTATACCTCTCATTCATTGTAATATCCTGCTTACTCCTCAAGGGTATCTATTTGCTGAGTTTTGTATTCGTTATTTTCTTGCTATTTATATATCCTTCAAAATTCACATACATACGATCACTGAACAATATATTATTGAACAGGCACGGTGGCTCACAGCTGTAATTCCAGCATTTTGGGAGGCTGAGGCGGGCAGATCATGTGAGGTCAGAAGTTCGAGACCAGTCTGGCCAACATGGTGAAACCCCATCTCCACAAAAAATACAAAAATTAGCCAGGCATGGTGGCTCCCAGCTACTGAGGAGGCTGAGGCAGGGGAATAGCTTGAACCTGGGAGGTGGAGATTGCAGTGAGCCAGGATGGTAATACTGCACTCCAGCTTGAGGGACAGTGCAAGACTCCATCTCAAAATGTATTTATTATTTAGTTGAATACTTTTGAAGTTAACATAATAGACTCATACTGAAAACAGGATATTCTATGATTTCCTCTTCTCATCAACATTATGGCTTTGACATTCATCATTACTGGACACATTTGCAGTTCACTTATTTTCACAGTTACGTTTGTTGGTTGTGATAAATAATACTTTCATACCTTTCAGGGTACACATGCCTAGGAAGCTCTAAGCTATTTACATACACAAGAAGGGAGTTGTATTTTTTTTCTTTTTTTTTTTTTTGAGAGAGTCTCGCTCTCTTGTCCAGGCTGGAGTGCAGTGGTGTTATCTGGGTTCACTGCAACCTCCACCTCCCAGGTTCAAGAGATTCTCCTGCCTCAGCCTCCCGAGTAGCTGGGACTACAGGAGCATGCCACCACATCCAGCTAATTTTGTATTTTTAATAAAGACCGGGTTTCTCAACATCAGTCAGGCTGGTCTCAAACTCCCAACCTCAAATGATCAGTCCACCTCGGCCTCCCAGAATGCTGGGACTACAGGCGTGAGCCACGGCACCTGGCCAAGAAGAGGGTTCTTAATTAATAGGATGTATGTTTGCAACGTTGCCAGATAATGACAAGCAGTTTTTGAGAGAGGTTGCACTCACTCACAGTGAATAAAAGATTCAGGTGTTTTATATTCCTGCCAATCCCTGCTCATGCCAGGCTTTTAAGCAATTTTAGTTGTAAGGTTATAAAATGTGATCCCATTATGCTTTCCATTTTCATTTTCTCTATTAGTAATGATAGTTTGCATTTTTCAGATGATATATTGGGAATTTATGTTTTCTATTCCACAAAATGTCTATAATGTCTGTCAAACATTGTTTTTTATTTGGTTGTTTTTCCAATCAATTTATAGGATTTTATATATTCAGGATACAAATGTTCTTTCCATTTATATGTGTGACAATGTCTTCTCTCAGTTTGTGACTTGGCTTTTCATTGTCTTTTGGCCCGTTTTGATGAACAGAGGTCCTGTTTTAAGGATATCAAGTATACCACAAAAATATTCCAATTTTATGCCTTATTAGAAAAATCTTTTTTTTTTGAAAACAGAGTCTGGTTCTGTCGTCCAGGCTGGAGTGCAGTGGCACAATCTCAGCTCACTGCAACCTCTGCCTCCCTGGTTCAAGTGATTCTCCTGCCTCAACCATCCGAGTTGCTGAGATTACAGGCTTGCGCCACCACACCCAGATAATTTTGTGTATTTTTAGTAGAGATGGAGTTTCACCATGTTGGTCAGGCTGGTCAAAATCGCCTCGGCCTCCCTAAATGCTGGGATTACGGGCATGAGCCACCATGCCTGACCCTAGAAAATTCTTCCTTCATGCCAGTACATAAAGACACTCTCTTACATTTTCTTCCAACAGATGAAACATTTTTGATTTTTACATTTAAGTTTGTATCCATCTTGAATGAATTTATTTTTGTTTGTGGTGAAAAGACCAGACCCAGTTAATCATTTTGCTACATGCAAACTTTTTGTTTGGATTGCCAGTCATGCCATTATCATCATGTTCCCAACGTTTCACCCTGTCGTGTGTTTAGTATGTATTCAGTACATACACGGGCCCGTAAGTAGGTCCTCTATTAAGTTTTTGGTTCCCTTGGCTATTGCTGCCCCGATGCCATTTGGTTACAATTTCTATGGTTTTATAACATATCATGATAATTGATAGGACAAATCTTACTTTGCTATTAAATATGTATTATTTTTCTGCTTCATTTGTTTTATAATCCAGCATAGCACACCAATACAAACATTATTTGAACCCCTCAAACATCCATGAGGGTTAAAATTAACTCCTTGCAAACGCCTATAATCTCAGCCCTTTGGGAAGCCAAGGTGGGTGGATCACTTGAGGTCAGGAGTCCAAGACCAGCCTGGACTTGGAAACCCAGTCTCTACCAAAAATACAAAAAAAATTAGCTGGGTGTTGTGGCATGCATCTGTAATCCCAGCTACTCAGAGACTGAGGCAAAAGAGGAGCTTGAACCTGGAAGGCAGAGGTTTCAGTGAGCTGAAATTGTGCTACTGCGCTCTAGCCTGGGAGATGGAGCAAGACTCTGTCTCAAAAAATTTAAAAAAATTTTACTTTTACAACTCTCACTCTACTACATCCTAAGTTTTGTTAAAAAGAAATATGGAGTTTATCTGTATCATTTTTACACAACTGGGTCACAAAAATATGTACCTATACACAATGTATGCACAAATTATTTTAGAAATTATTTTCTTATTTCACATTATCAGTGATTAGAATGACCATAAAATTCTCTAATTTCATTATTTCACAATGTTTCTTACATACTTACGCTTTCCTTTCCTGAGTGCTTGATTCTAATTTGTATTCACTTTATTGGAATGATTCCTGAGCGACTGAGACAAAATGCTCAAATGACATATTTTCTTATTTCTTGGTTTGATGGATTTCATGTCTTTTTATACTCACAAATGAACGATACCATTCTGGGTTCTAATTTTTTTTTTTTGCTAAAACTTTACAAATATTTCTAAATTGTCTTCTTAAATAAACTAATGTTACGAACAGGTGTATATTTAATTTTTTACTTTGAGTCACACCCCAGTGCTACTTGGTGTATTTTCTTCTCAAATTGTTCCAGCCTGGCTTTGGGGCGTTGGTGGCTGTCTCAGTTCAGCTCCTGTGTCACATCTGACTTCTGCTCAACCTTTTCTGAGCACCCCCACTTCCTAGTGATACAAGATGTTCTAGGATCATTTTGTATTTTCCCTACCTGAGGGTTATTATCAGCTATTTCTTCAAGAAGACCAGGTTCCTGTTATTGGAGAAGGTATTTATCTGGACAGAGGGTTTGCTCATTGCTACTGGGATGTCACTAATTCTAGATCCTTGCAGTGGATAGATCTAGGAAGTGTGTGTGTGTGTGTGTGTGTGTGTGTGTGTGTGTGTACATGCATATAACTCATTATATAGGCATATATAAGTAGTATTACACATTCTCGTGGATTTATAAAGATTAAACAAAACATGACTTCATACTGATGTCTCCAATTCTAATCCAGCAGCCCCTGTTAATTCTAGCTTTCCCTCCTACCCTTTGCTAATCTATAACTTCCCTCACTCACAGTGAAACGTCATCCACCATCCATTTACTTGTTGTTCAACCCAAGTATATATAGGCGTACCTTGGAGATATTCAGGGCTCATTTCCACATCCCCACGATAAAGTGACTATCCCAATAAAGCAAATCACACACACTTCTTGGCTTTCCAGTGCATATAAAAGTTACCTTCACACTATAAAGTGTGCAATAGCATTAGGCCTAGAAAAACAATGTACATTATAAAGTACTTTATACCTTAATTATAAAGTACTTTACTGCTAAAATATCCTAATGATCATCTGAGCTGTCAGTGAGTCAAAATCTCTTTGCTGGTGGAGAGCCTAGCTTTGATGCTGATGGCTACTTACTGTTCAAGTTGTTGGTTGCTGAAGGTTGGGGTGGCTGTGGC